CGGAAATGGGGGTAAAGAGAGAAGACATCGCAAATTACTTCACAATCATCTAAATTTGGCCCTAGCCCTACCTTTTCTATAAGGGTAAGCATCAAAAAAAAAAAAATTCAATTGTCTAAGAATATTCTTATAGCAAATATGTGGTCATTTACCCTTATTTTTACATAACAACTCTTTTGGACTGCAAAACTGTACCCTTATAGGGCGATTACCTTTATAGATGTTACCCTTATAGCGAGATTCCACTGTATCATGCCTTGGAGCATCTAGTGAGTGTGAGCATATATAGGAAGGACCCAGCAAAGCTGGAATGAGCGCTCGATCTACCTGTCTTACCTTAGCGTAATGGCAGAATATTCAAGCCATTACAACCTTCCGAGTAGATACGGAAGAAATTACATGCTGTTACTTTCTATGAGGTAAGCCGTAGGTGCTACCGAGAATCGATTGATAATTCATGTATTAAAATACTGCTAAACCCGATACAGGAAGCCACCACAGGATTGGAATGAGGGTTCGTCATTCAAAGCATTGGCGATTCTCGTTGGTGAGAGTGACTCATCTGCATATATGTCTAAATAGAATAGTCATGTATCTCTCATCGCGGAAGGTTTCTATTAGCTGGTTAGTTACCTCCTACCCTTAGAATATCGTCTAGTAAGCTACGGCTGTTGATAGACAAATAATTGACGCATTAAGGGAGACGACATGCATGTTTTCATGCATGTTTTCTTAAGTCATGAAACTACGAATTCTTTCATGATATATAATAGGCCCTCTAACCAACGTTATAACCTTTATAATTTTCATCGATGGTTCTTCTTGAGCTCTTCCAAAACTAACACTTTACGTGAGCAAGAAGGTGATCAGCATACTGGCTCCAACTGCATGGAAGGAATTGATTTCCATTTTGAACCATTGTATAGAACTGTCCGTTCAATTCGAAACACTAAATAGAGCTGTGAGTTTTCTGGATCATTACATACCCTTCTTTTGGTATCATCGGTTCCTCAAACTGATGTTTAATTTTATATATAGCCGGAGGCCGCTCCCCACTAGTATGCATATATATACGCTTTCTTTATTTCATGTACAATAGAATAATTTATTTCTTATTCTGAACACTAGTAGTCCTTTCTTTGTCTACCCGTCGACTCCAGCCTCTGTTCCTTCATTCAGGCCACTCTTGAAATAACAAGTGACACACTCTTAATTTCCTATGTGTTTCATATATGATTCACGGTATAGGCTGCACGGTTTAAGCATTATTGATTGGGAGAATGACAACGGCTAAATATTTGCCACAGTTCAAAATAGCCAGAGAGATTGGATTCTCAAAACATTTCTAGTGCCAAGATGCTTAGAATGATCGATTGACAGTGTTCAACAGTGAGTATCTTAACAGCAATTAATTGGTTACAAAACTCCACGGTTATGAATCAAATTGTTTAGTTCAAATTGGTTAATAACTTAGAATGACAAGATTACGACTACCATATAAATAGCGATAACTGTTATCTTTACATTCTTATTTTTTTTTAATATATATGTTAAAAAGATGTTAAAATACCCACGTGTCGAACACTATTTACAGTTCGCTTACATATTATAAACTCAGCTGCCACAATAAGACGAAACACATAGAAACTGGTAATGGGAGTAAGGCGAATCTACTAGTTTGTCAAGTACTATATCTTAACTTGATACACTAAATTAACTTTAGACTTCTAATCTAGAAAGGAGTTTACTCACGTGATAATTAAAAGTCAGATTTCTGTATACTAGGGATTTGGTTAGAATGACCTCCGATCTTTTATTAACGAGCGAGTGTTAAGGTATATGTGTACTGGGTGATTTGTAAATATGACAGATTCATGAATGGAATTAACAAATTCACGAATGGACTTGAGATATTCACAAATGGACTCCTATGCTAATACATCTGTAGCTGTACTAGTCTATTCATGAACAGCTTGAGGAAACTGTTGTAAATTGTTCATAACTGATAACTAACAATGATGTATATCAATCCCCGATGGCTGCTATGATTACTGGAGACCTCTAAAAAAACCCAGTAACCCTGAAGACTAAATCTAGAACAACAATAGAATCTTTAAGATCTTTAGCGAGTATCAATGATATCCAGTGATCTCTATCAGTCTTAGTTACCTCTACAATCTTTTAATAGTACCCTAAAATTAATAGTAGAACCTCATAATCTCTTGTAAAACCCTAAAACCTCTATTAAAGCTCAGGCATTTCAGGTGTTGGTTCAATGACTTAATTTCACTACCAATGGACCAGTTCAGTCCCAGATGTATAGAGCAAGGAGTCCATTTACAAATCCGAGCTATTTTGGAATGGGACGGAACATATACATTAATGAAGGTAATACAAAGAGCTAAAAGACAGCAATATTGAGTTATACATTTTCGGTTTGTGTTACTTATTTGTTTTATTTTTGCTCCTTTGGAGGGTTTTAGATTTATCTGAAATTGTCATAACCTTTCGATTCCTTACAATTAATGAAGCAATATAATCAATCAATTAACTGACCTAATATAGGCTATCTGAAAGCTCATATCCAGCTGATTACATACAATTCATTACCTGTCTATGGGTAGGTGGAGCTTCTACTATATATTCCTGTTTGACTATTCTGAGATTCATTCAATGAATGAATAGATCGGCTATAGCGTACGTTCTTTGCTTGCGGCTAGGCTAGTTTCATGGATAGACTAGTGAATACATTGGGTTACGAGGAGTTGGATTAGTCAGAAGGGTTCTATTTGGTTCCATTGGGTTCTGTGGGTCGTAAGCGTGTGAGTCACTTTGGATTTGTCATCGCTAGGATTTCCTTGGGTATATTAAGGGGTTTTCGCTTTCGTTCCTTGTTCGTTTCCTTCTGTTTCTTTTACTACGCAACGTCTTCTGTATCTACGCTATCTATTGCTATATAATATTATCGTCCTCTTCTTTATGCAAGAAGACCACCGCTTCCTCTTGTCCCGTTGATCATTCCCAAAGCTAGAGTCCCTTAGGCCCCCTATTGCGAGTTCCCATACCGTCCCCTACTACACTCTTCGTACCCTGCAAACACTCGCTACTCGCCCCCTTGAGAGCTAGGAACCAGCAAAGATAACTTGAAAGGGGTCTAGCCATTGAGGGTGGAAAGTTAGTTTGGCCGACGAATCCAGTTTTCTCAAGTCCTTGACTTGAGCTTTTCTCTCAAGCCCTACGACTTCAGGCATATTGATTCATGAATAGATTCATTAATCATCTACAGCATACAATGATATCAGGCATACAATGAGATTTACTGATTCCAGCACTATTAACCGCTCGACTTGAGATAGCTTGAACTATTTCTATATTTATATTATTAGATATTCGCGCTCAGTATTGTAGTTTGTGAGCAGAATGCTTTTTTGATTTACATTCGTCAGTTTTAGATACATTTGTCTGAAATGATTTTTCCTATGATTCCCCCTGTAATGAGGCAGAAATAAAACTTATCTTTTCACAAAGAAATTCTTGTTAGCTTGAGCTTCGCTTGAGCCCTTGAGATTTCTCCACAAGCATGAGTCGAATCTTCTGTGAGACAAAGTGGCTCGAGCTATGGACAGGGATCGACTTGACCCAGCTTGTCGAGTACTACATTATGTAATATCTTCGAGGCATGCAACCAAAGATTTGGAACATTTCTGCAACAGTTATTGAAATCACAGGGTATCATTCGTGCCAGTGTACATGGCTTCTCTATTTTAGTTTTATAGTGTTGGGGTATACCAGAATACACTTTTAATAAGGTATCCGGTGAATATATAAGGTATATAAAAGATCTTTATTACCAAGGAAGACTTTGATGTCCGTTATAATTGGAGATGAGCATACATATTGGACTCCAGTTTTGTATCGTTATATTGCATAAAGAGGTAATGGAACTCTGGTTATAAGATTACATATATGTAAGTATTGGCAGTCCCAAAACTTCCAATTGGTGTGACTGCGCTCTTTAGCTATAGTGATACTCGTTTTATCAGGATACAGCTTTTCGGTCTTGACTGCACCCTTATATCAAGTGGCGATTGTATCCTATACGAGGAAATGATTGTGCTTGTATATTTTCCGATGGGGTCCGTGTACACTGGTGGAAATATTTAAAACTCACGGACTATTGTATACATGAAGGAACGAAAAGTAACTTTTAGGTTGAGGCAAACTTGATCCGGAAGGCTTAAATATCATCCACTGAGGTCTCTACTCAGAGCATAACTACGGGTAAGTACTTAAGTATTCAGGGATTACATTGAGGCTCCATACATGTACGTACATTTAGCATGTAATATGTTATTATTTTTGTTAAATCGCACTCTAATGACTCTGTAAACAAATTAGCAAAGTCGTCGGTAAAGGTATACTGGTAAATGTATATTGAGAAAGTCACTTCTCGATATACAAAGTAATTTTGGGTATGTAAATGCATCAGTAAAGTCGTAGTTAGGGAAATTGAACGACTTTATCAACGATTTTGCCAACAACTTTACTCACAATATTGCTGACAATTTTACCTCTATGAGCAGGAAAAATAAATTTACTTGTGACCGCGAAGATAGTGTGTCCTTACTTATGATGGCAAAGGCCAGGAACTTGAATAACTTCAATTGACAATACGATCCAATATCATGCATGACTAAGGGAATCACACAACGGTGGGAGTTAGAAAGTCAGAACTACCTGTATACTCGAATTGAACAATACTGTTACGAACCATACCGCTCTATTACCTGTATGAGTTATTAGGAGGTCTGGAAGGTTCCGTGGGATTTATAATCTGTTGTCATCTCCTTGCTATAAAGAGTCGCTTGTGTCTTCCTGTTGTCTTTCTTTTCCTTTCCTTACGCAACATCTTGTATTCTACTTTGGGTTTTACTTTGGGGGATCTACTTCGCTTCAATACACTTCTTTACTCTGAATCTACGTTACATCTGCTGTTCATCATGCTCGGTGCATCCGCTGTCCTAATCTTCGCCGTTTACCTATCCCTCGCCTCGCCCCTCTCGGTTAACCTGCCGACCGCTGACATCTCCATCCTCATATGGACCTTTGCCTCTGCCTTCGTGCAGACCTTCGTCGCCGCCCCCATCTCTGTTCTAGCGTCGACCTCCGTCCTCGTCCTCGGGTGTACCACTGGCCAACCCCTCGCCCTTGTGCGAGGCCTATCTGTTCCAACTAGGAACCCAACCATGTCCCTCGACCCCTCAGCTTCTACCTCGCCCATGGTTCCTTACAAATACATCTTCTAAATTTAAATTGTATTCCCCAAATGTTACAAAACTATTGATATAGGAGAACATCTGGTTATTCTATTGACATATCTAGTTTCAGAGATCCATTATCTCGAGATTCTGGTAAAGACTTGATTTCATGGATCGATTGGTTAACACACTGGGTTACGAGGAGTTGGATTAGTCAGAAAGGTTCTATTGAGTTCTATCAGGTTCTATCGGGTTCTGCTGGTCACAAGGGTATGAGTCACTTTGGATTTGTCACACCTGGGATTTCCTTGAGTATATTAGGAGGTTTCGCCCTCGCTTCTGTTCTCTTTCTATTCTTTCCTTTGATACGCAACGTCTTCTGTACCTATGTTGTCTATTACTATATAATATCATTTTCTCTTCTTTACTTAAGAATACCACTGTGCTGCTGCTCTCCTTATCCCGTTGACCCTTACCAGTGCTAGAGTCACTCAGGACCCCTATCGCAGGCTCTTCCACCGACCTCTGTCAACTCCTTTGTACCCTGCGAAATACTCGCTACTCGCCCCCTTGAGACTTGATCGGAAAAAGAGATACTTTCTAGCGGAAATGAAAAAGGGTCCAGAAGTTGTAAAAGTCATAGGTAAAAGGAATTACCAGGCGTAAAGTCGTTGGTAAAAGCATCCATAGATACATTTACACAAGACATCGACTGTAATTCTGCTTTTCAGTACCCTTTTATGCCTTTTACCATTTTATTAGTATAGGGAAAAAGATCATTGATGCATTTATCGGACTATTAGAGGCAGTCATTATGTATATATATATACATGTACATGTAGTTCTTGAGAAAAAGAGAGTAACTCCGAGGTAAGCAATTATATGTAAATCGATTCAGGAAACGCAGAAGTAACGGATAAAAGATTTAAAACTAGAGGTTCTAAACTGATCGGAAATTATCAGTATAAACTTGGTAAGGGTGTACAGGTTATGATAAGTTCACCAGTGTCCCATAGACCATCAGGCCGAATTGTAATTAGAGGTATCTAACGCAAAGTGGAAATCGTGATATAAGGCACGCCTATAAGATTAGCAACGACAGAAACCATCAAGGAGTTTGTGTGTGATAAATTATACATTGTAACACAGACATACATATAAATCTTGCATTTACCATATCACGATTTCCACTTTGCGTTAGATACCTCTAATTACAATTCGGCCTGACGGTCTATGGGATATGCACATAGGTAGTAATACCAGACACGGATAATATCTTAAGCAGTCGAAATACTATACGATTCAGTTCTGTCGACCTAAGAGCATGAAAATTAAGTACCATATTGTCATGTTTCTGACTCAAAAGTCGATAGCTTGCTAGACATCTATATCCACCGGCCGTCCATTGGTTAAGTAAGCACGCTGTTCGCCCTCTGTTCGAGGAAATTAAAGATTTACAAGTACAAGTTCGCTGCCGAGTGACAAATACTTAGGCTAGCTAGACACTGTGAGCCTATTGACACCCGCGTCCATTGAGGGTGGTAGATATCACTCATATTATCCATCATATGTCTAGAGAGATTCCGTTCGTGTGCCCCCCACCCAACCTTTAGAGATGAGAGTCTAGGCTTGGGATCAGATTCCATGCTCAGTCTCCATTTCTCACCCATTATCAAAGTTTGAAAGTAGCGAATTAGTAGTCACTGGGATAAATTAAAAGTTATAGAGATAGTCTGTCACTTTTGGTGGCTTGGAACATCAAATACCGCCTTTAAATCGACTCAATTAAAATCATCTAAAAAAACATCTATCGCATGCATTGGTCCAAAAGTCTAAACGTCACAACTATGAAGCTTCATCATCAGTAACTCTGCAGATCTGACTCCTCTTCTTGAATAATCCACCATGAGTAGAAAGCAGGTGCGGGCGGGACACTCCTATACGCGTCCATTAAAGTTTCTCGCAACACCTGCCTGCCATTCGTGAGCCCTCTTAACCCGTTCTTCTGCTTTCCTTCTCTCGTCTTTGTAGAGGTTCTTCTCCCTTTGTTTGTACCACTCATGCTCCTCCGTTGCTTTCTTGTGCTTTTTGGGATCCATGGTGGCATATTCCTGCTTCGCCTGGGCGTTTTCCAGGTCCTGCTTCGCCCTATACGCGGCAAGTTGATTAGCTCTGAACTTTGCCTCTTCGCCCGGCGGCTGTCCTCCAAACGCATCATGTCCAGGTGGGAAGATTGTCGGCTCTTTTTTATGTTGACGGTGGCCATGTCCACGTCCCCGATTCTTCTCAGCTTCCTTGCAACGCGAGCAAATCGAATCCCGAATCCTACTCGTGACTGTCTGCACCTTGCAAGGGTTATATCGGCAAGCTTCACTCGTCGGAAAGCATTCCTCGGTGAAATGTCCGCAGCTATATTGGCAGTGTTTGACCTGGCACATGGTTTGTTATTGCGTTGGTTTAAGCTGAGAAAGACTTGTTGAATGCTTACAGGCGTATTGTAATGATGATATTGATGTTTTGGATGGTGGTGTTGAGGGGCTTTTATAGCTTGGTAGGGGAGATATCATACAAAGATACTCCTTGAATGTGCACGGGGCTTCGGTGGATTCATGTTGAATTCTATGGCTCTTGAAACAGGGGGGAACTTTTCAGTCCTCAATTCCAACATATCTTCTTGAAAGGCGTTAATGATATGTTTTGTTTGTGATTGTATCGTAACATAAATCGATGAGGGTACTGATATGGGATTGAATTTACCAAGACTCTGTGGGGTGGATGTCATCGATTATATTATGCTGAAGAAAGGACTTGACCGTGTACGATTAATTTACTAGAGTTGTGTTAAATAGTATGGAACTAAGTTTGCTAAATTTAACCCCGTGCTTAGATCTAGGGATACAATAGACAGCAAAGCATACCAGAAATCTATTGATGGATGAGACTGAGTGAGCACGGTGCCAGTTGGCTATTATTCATATCATTCATCTATATAGCTATATCCGAGTTGTCAATAGACCCAACACTTGGATTCGCAAGGCGTTGCAAATAAAGGTTTGTAATTGTTGGATAGAGCCGGTTGATATGCAGCCAGTATTGTATTCACGGAGGAGTGCGGCGCGAGTCAGGCCAGTCGCCGTTATCACTCAGTCGTCGTTTTTCATGGAGTTGAATAAATGAAGCTAGTTTTTTTCCAAAACTGAGAGGAGTGTATATATCTTAATACCTCAATCTTCTTTCTGGATTTAGGATAGCCAAGGAAAACAGTGACTGAGTGGTCATAGCGACTGGCAGGCCTCACGCGGTACTTAGTAAGTAATCAAAGGCTGCATCGGAGATAACCTCTTTAGAAACTTGAAAGTGTCCCTATAATCCTCACTAGTGTTTAAGACTAATGCCGGATTTCCTCTAGTGCTTAGAGATAACACTACATGTAAGCTTGCCCCTTCCAGCTAAGAGAAAGACTGAATTAAATTGAAGAGAGATTGACCTGGAGCTCGAGAGTGAGGAACTAAGTGATAGATTAGTAATAGGGTTGGGAGGATAAGATAGCGGAATCTCTTGTGATTTTCCTCGCAGGTACATATTATAATTTTGGAACTGCCTGGCGGCCACATGAGCTTGCTCCCCCATTTTGGAATGTGCATACACAGCGCTGCAGTCAGTTTTTGCCGCGGCTGAATATACGGGGTGAGGAATACTCGTCGACTTGAGGAGGTCATGAAGCATCTCGAGACTGGAGAATCTTCGTTGTACAATACGTACAAACCCTAACCCTGCTTATTCTTGGAATTCAAGATCTCAGGCCTTGGCGCATTGCCTCAGCAAGGTATGTATGTGCACCTAAGCTACGATAATACTTTGTGCTCTAGCCCTTTAATTACATGACGCGTTATGTAGTGGTTCCGAATAGTGTCCTTACGCTCAATCGGGATATACATATTAGCTGACTGCGTGATAAGGAGAAGGTTTCAAAGAGAGCAACAACCTGAATAGAGAAAGTTATGCTGTAAAAGTCTGGGCTAAGTTAATAGAAGTTGTATACGTATATATGTAGTGTGTCTTTGTTTCAAGTCTAGCTGGTATAAGTAGACAACACTGCATTTGTTGATTACTAACCTACTACGTTCACAAAGAAATCTAATTCCCAGTGGTCTGAGGACAAAGAATCATTGTTATTCTTTCAAGACCGCCCACAAGTACTTGCATTCCAATTCGGGAGCTATAATACCATCGACAGCTTCGTCGTTTCGTTACCCGTAGCCAGTACACCAGTACGCCCTCCCAGCAAGTAAAGCACCACTCTCACGCTACTCTGATCAACATCAAAAACATAATTATAAGCAAAGAGCCACCGTTGAATAACAACCGCCAACTCCAAGGGGAACTCGAAACAGCATAGCGAAAAAAGGATTATAAAGAGAAATAAGTAACAGTCTTTTCTCGTCACTTCAATGGCTGCCCTTGGCGGATTTGTCCAGAACCAGTGGGATGTCCCCGTGAATGATGCGAACTACCACCAAGATTCGGATAAAGTTGCAGCAATGCGCTACCAAAGTATCTGGCCTGTAGTCGAGGCTCTTGATACATCCGGATGGCTACGCACGGAAATGGATTACCATACCTATCGTTGGACACAACTGATCAGGGGCATGTATACCTTTGGGCACAACCAGGTGGCGTATGGCAGGCTGAGAGCATTGGGCGCTGGAACCGCGGCGCAGGACACTAAGAGAAGGAATGAGCGGTTGCGACTGAAGAAAGCTTACAATGAGCTTGTGGCAAGCACAGTGATGCTCTACCAGAGGGTTTGCCGGTTCATTGGTAACGACCATCGGGGTAAACCCTCTAGAATGAATCGCAACTTTGACCCAGACTTTCTCCTCTGGAGTGTAAAATGGTTTGACTTAATGAAGACATACAAGTGGAAACATGCGATGATGGAAGGTAGGACTACTTATCGACGGGAATTTAGGGTTGGGCCGACTTATGTACCTCTGGAGGGGGGAAATTGGCGCGACCTCACGAGGTTGTAGATCAGTCTCGCTTATTTGAGAGAGAAGGAAGAAGGCCTACAAGAGAAAATACGTGTAGTACGGCTTCGTTTTACTGTTTGTCTCATCTGGATTTGAGTGGCTTGTGTTCACCTTTATGTCTCATGCCCAAGGCAAACGCTTTTGTGGCGTGGGGATGGAAGGATATTATGTGTTGTTTCCACCTAGGGTTTCGTTGACACGCAAGCGAAAGAGTTTCTGGTATTTATTGGAATGTTTGCCTGGGACATTGGGAATGAAGACAAATGATGATGCAAGATATCATTTCCAGAAGGGGGTTATAGAAAGGTTGCTAGTGCCATTAAAGGGGAAACCGCCTCCTGCGGTGTTGGTCAAGATAAACTTCTGTATGGAGTGATATAATCGGTCTTAGAGGAAGACGGATTGGGTGCCGTAGCTGGGAGCGCTACATACATGTACCTTATATGGGTACGCCTCAGTCATTATAGGAAGCTTGAAATTGATTCTATTTGCTTGAAACTAGATTGGCTCGTCTCTCTAGAGGTCGACTTATCAGCGAGATGAGGGTTGAAGAAACCCGAGCTCGCTAGCCTTGAGCCATCCCTACCTCTTAGTGTGAGGCATGATTACAATCGATTAGGTTTTCCGCCTCTAATCAAGTCAACACACGCTTTCCGACCCATCAACTCATAGTTATGATTAATTAATGGCATAAATTCATACCTATTCGATTATTCTGATTATGTATTTACAGGTTGATATTTCAGGCCTTAGAAACCGAATTTCTTCCCAAAATTGGTCTTTCTTTAAGATCATTGGAGGAAAGATAATTATTTCCGCTGTTATTTTTCCTGGTTTTACTGTCTCTTTATACTCATGATTTAACCGATTTATTGCGAAAGACTAATCATGATTATGATTCGAAATGTCACCCCTAACTGAGTCTAATCAAATTATATACTCGATTTTTATACTCGATCATAGTCGACTCATGCCGCATACTGGACGCCTTCCCGTAAGTTATTAAACGTGTTCTATTGCAATCGAGGATGGTTTTCGAATAGACAAGGTTCCCGTAAGCATACGGTGATTGATATATTTCCTAAAAATCTAATCGATTATAATCGGTGCCTAATACAAATTGGGTATCGTTAAGCCATCTTTTGGGACTATTTTTCGCGCTAGCAAGGTGTTCTCTCCATTGCAACGGATAGAAAATGGATAGAGTATATCTATCGAATAGACCCCCCCCTCCCTAGGGGGGTCTATAAGAAACACATAGACCCCCCGTTCTATTCGATAGAACACCAAAATTTGATCTATCCGGCAATAGAACGCCCGCTATTGCTTACGGGAAGGCGTCCACTACTACCTCTAAATTAAATAGTATCAACCACCCTTTTGTATCAACGTGTTACTATGTTGACAGTACTGAGTGATAATCCAAAATATGTTGTGAATGCAGTTTCGGATCTGACATCATGCTATACAATCAAGCACTCGGTTGGGACATATCAAGGATCGTTAATTATAAGTAGTTTTGAAATTCTCTTTAGACCTCCTGAATGTAAGATCTTCGCCGATCTTATGATGTGACCGAAGACTACCGGCTCTCGGTACTCTACTAATATACTTACTAGGATCGAGTTTCGCTCATGAAGTACACTATAGCTGTTTCAACATCAGATAAAACAAATAGGGACCTTTTGCAGCGAGGTCTACACTATATATAGAGGGGTAACTACGGCAGTCTGTGTGTACCAAAGGACAAATACCGCGAAAACTCATCAACTTGATTATCCCCATGCAGGGTTTGAATCTCCCAACAAAAGCTCTTGGCTCGCTGATCGTGTCCACGTGAGGAAAGAGCGAGTGATGCCTCATGTCCGGCAGGTTATTGTGGAGGTTCGAGCGGGTGTTCGTCGAGCGGGTGTTCTGCGCAGGTAGTAGTGATAAAGGCCCGTTGATGTGAAGAAATAGAACCAGCTTCGCGATCCATCATGATTGCTGAGGTACTGCGCGCTGTTACGGATAATGAAAAAAATGCGAGCCAGGGCAGTCAGTCAAGCCAGAGCAGTCTCTAGGCGCCGTGGAAATGTGTACCTGAAAATATTAAATAATATTCAGTAAAGTCGTCGGGAATGAATTTCATTTTGCTGGGTAATGTCAATATTTTGGCGGAGGGAAAGTCGTTTTAAGGGAAATCGGACGACTTTACAGACGATTTTTAATGACTTTACCGACGACTTTACCGACGACTTTACTGACGACTTTACTGACGACTTTACTGACGACTTTGCCTGTCACGCTTCTGTCACTCATTTTGGGCGAATACACAAGGGGGGATAAGTTTTGGCCACCGGTGATGCTTCACATGATTGACCAAGGCCACCGCCAATGAGACGAATCATCACTGAGCATCCTACTATTATACCTGAAGCATCAAGTCAGAATAACCTGCATGTATATGTTAAACAATGGATCTACCAAAATGAAATTGTATTCCCCAACTGTTACAAGCCCATTGATGCCAGATACCATTTGATGACCCCATTGAAATATTCTACTTGGGGACTCAACTATCTCGAGATCTAGAGGAGGAGCTTCATAGGAAAACATTGATTTTCCGGCGGAAAATAGGAAACACCGGAAACTACCAGTAAAGTCGTATTTTCTTTGCCTTTAACATGCCTCTAAGAAGTAAAGTCGTTAGTAAAGTCGTATTTTATTGCATTTCACGTGCCTTTAACAGGTAAAGTCGTCAGTAAAGTTGTATTTTATTGCATTTAACATGCCTTTAGCAAGGGAATGCATCTGTAAACTCGTCGGTAATAGGACAGGATTGCCTTTAACACAAAGTAATGCGGTTATTGCATCAAATAATGTGTATCTCGGAACCTTTTGTATGGGAAACGTCAAAATTGATGCATTTCCACGGCTACTAGATAGTCATTCGACTCAGGGCAGCCAGTCCAGCGTGAACATACAGAAGGGGCCAAAACCAAAGTCAGTAAAGGAGCGGAAGCTCAACCCTCAAGGTGTATGACGTATCAGACCATCCTACAGCAATCAACAGAAGCTCCGGGTTCTAGTATTCTTTTTCACCCGCAAGGTCCCCAGAGAGATAGAATCAGGAGAGTTCCGCTATCCTACATAAGAGAAGGCATCAAAAGTCTTTGGTGTACCCCAACCTACTATTAGTTTATACTGGGTTCGCAATAGAGGAAAAATAGAAGGGTCTGGGGTGGCATCCAGTATTCATACTATCCGTACTGCACCCTCAGTTTGTAGATGGCGAGAAATTGAGACTCGTTTATACAACCTGTTTCTCAGGAGGAGAGAAAAGGGACAGCCTATCCGTATGTAGGGACTGGTTCAGAGTCCATGCTACCCACATATTCAGAGAAGTGTACCCTAGTTCTTCCCGCTCGATTTTCCGCTCCTCCAACAATTTTAGGTGGGTTGGACTAATTACTACGCGGTTTGTGCTGACAAAGGCGCTAACTGATGCTCTCAGCTGTTGACTTGTATTGATGTCAGATGATAGATAATAATGATGATGATAAAGAGAAGAAGAGGAGGAAGGAGAACGGGCTGGCAGATAAAAGGAAAGACAGTACAGGATCCCCCTCTGCTAGCTCCACCACGACCCGGATCCCTGTCTAGTCAAAGCACCCTTTCTCCTGTTCGACATCCAGCATGACACTACGACAACATCAGCCAATCGGGTTAATTCCGTGCATGAAAAGAAAGGTACTGTCGTTCACGGGGTATTGGCGGATTCTGGGTAATGGCGGACAAGGGTTTCGGACGCCAAGGACGGACATCAAACAGATTTTTGGACTACGTGCTAACAATGATAATAGGTACATGTATCAGCGGAAACAATGCACAACCGCCCTCCTAATATCAATGACCGCCCCCGCTATTCTGTCAATGTGCGCCCCCGTCCCTTTCCCTATGAACGTCCTCCGCCCTGTTCAGCCTTGACCTTTTAGGAACTTTCTTCGCCCTATCCTTTTCATCTCTCTTGTGCTTGAGTTCTACAAGTACGTCACCCTTTCCTATTATACATGTAGCCTGAGAATTGATATTCAAGCGTCTTGTATCGGGGTTTGACTTTTCAACTAACTGTTTAATCTGATCGTGCAGGTGCGCCTCCCCAACCTCATGCATGAGAGCTTTGGCAGCCCCATTCTCGGCGCTCATTTTCAATTTGGTAAAGAGTGTCCGCTGCTTAATAGAGCGGGGACTGTTGGAGGTAAAAAATACGCTTGGCCCAAATAATTCTTGGAAGTGGAGGGCATACCCGAGATAACCCAGGCCGACCCAAACTCGGCCGCGCGCGGCACTAGGAAGACTGACCTGAATAACCTCTGTGTGGAGTGTTTCCTTATGAGTGAGGTAATATTCAAACTCACTATGGTGTAACGGTTTCTTGACCTATAGGGCGCCCGATTCGTATGTTCTGCTGGATAGACAACTTATAGATCGGACAGAACACCACCCAAGCAAAGATTAATATTAACCGCGTGGTTTCGCACGGGGCGTAGGCAGGGATCGGCTACATACATGTACATAGTATCCAAGCTCGAAGATGCCAAGCCCTTCTTTGCACTGGCTCGTCTCAAGGCGGCTCATCCAACATTAATTGCAGATGGCGAAGATTGGGAAGTCAGAGAACGGGCTCCTGATAGTCCCGTACATCCTTACATCAGTCAACGGAGCGGCTCTGAGCGGTAGACAGTGTTTCCAGCCGTTGGAAACACTGGCCGTAATAGAGGCTTCTAATATGCTGGTGTGATTTTCCAGAGGTGATCTGCATCTTATCTCCTGCCAGGGAAAACCGCTGTCATTCAGGCGGCTACCAAGGACCGCTGCCACCTGCAGTTGCCATCCATCCCGACTGCGTGAGTGGGTTCGGCGATAAATTGCGGCATGGCAACCAAACATGGGAAATCACTCGGTGTCTCTACGAGTATTATGATGCTCAAGTCTGGTTACAGATGCCACCTGCATTTAAAAGAACGGCATCTTGATTCTATTGGAAACCCCCCCCTTTCATTCTGATACTTCGAATACTTACTTCTGCCGCGCATCTTTCCACTTGCATTGTCATGGCTTGGTAGGAGTAAACCACCTCAAGAGGACCCTGGGGGAGAGGTTGGATCATAACCCAGAGAGTGCTTATGGTATAGTTTGAAGAGTTTTCCATGGATACATGACATGGCGCGTAGTTTGACGCAATATACGATATACTCTATAGCTCTTTTAATCTTGTTAGGCTCCGTTCGGTTGCACCGACTGCGATCCATGACTTGAACGTGCATGGATTTCCGATGCCATCACTCAATAAATGGATTTCTTCACAACCAAAAAGTGTTCGGTTTCATCAATTTTTATCTGCCAAAACCGCCAATATGAGTTTAGCTTCCTGCTATGCACCATATCCATCATGAGGGGTAAAAAATTAAACCCTGTATGTCACTTGAAAACTTCTATCATGACAATACTGATCCATCTCTAGATCTACTATCACAACTGGTTAACCTCAGCGGTTTCGTTTCCCCGTTTCGTTTCGCTGCCTATTTCTCTGTAGGCTTTATCAACAGAAGCTATAGGACCTCTGTCCTTTGAATCTTAACTCTAGAGAGTCAGCGGTTTCGTTTCGCCGTTTCGCTGCCCTGTTTCTGTGCAGCTCTTATTCCCATCAACTTTAGGCTTCTATCTCCTCAAAGCTTTAGGAAAACACAGTTTTGTTTCGCCGTTTTGTTTCGCCGTTCTACCACCTTTCCAGCAGTACTTTACCGGCTTGGGCTGTTTTGTTCAAGTACGATGAACTCCAATCATATATCAGTACAGCCAGGGCTTCGACAAACGGACAATACATCTCTGAGGGCAAAATGGTCGGTTGGGGAGGAAAAATTATTGGTCGATACCTTGATAGCTGAGGTGCGGAGAGGGAAGAGGGCTGATAGCAGTTTCAAAGTTACATCCTTCGCCCTTGTTCAACAACGAATCAATGCAATCTATCAGACTACCTATGAGTTGTAGCGAGCCCGAAATAAGTATAGTGCACTAAAAAAAGACTATGATATCTTTTCTGCCTTGAAATCCAACAGCGGATTTGGCTGGAATGAAGGAAATCAATTGGTAACAGCTGATGAGGTTTGGGAGAGATATTTGAAGGTATGATTTCCAATAGTTTCCTTACGGATTGCTATGTACCCTATGGTGCATTTTTTCTGGTGTGAGGTGGCTAATTCATCTGATTCGAGAGTGTAGTAATGGGCCCAGCAAGGTAAATTCGTACTCTTTTGCTCTTTAGTGATAATTTACCGGAAATATGAGAGATACAGTTATTCTTTCCTATTTGGGGGATCTTTATCGGTCTTAGACTAAATAATGTTCAGCCTGCTGTTTTGTGACTTAGCAAATTTTCTTAACAAAGTGTCCAGCTAGTCTTTGCGGAGTTATCAAAGGGGAAGGATAAACTACCCTTTCCCTGCCAGCACCCTATCTAATATACTGATAGAACAGATATCTTGTATCATCCCCCATGGCCTAGGTAATACAGCTTTTTGATGAATCTCCAATGATACAGGTTCAACCCCTGATTATTCCTTGAGTATTTTTTTTTCGATAGAGAGTTAGTATGTTTATAACAAATATTATAGTATAATTAATCGCCATATTACGATTGTTCATCCAATTAGATCTACAATTGTTTCCCAATTTCATCCCCAAATAAGGGTAACATAGGTTACCTCACATTAGTGGTAGTTTACTATTTCGGAATTGTACCCTATGGAACTTTTGCTTCTTTTGATTATATCAGTAGTACCATGCAGGCTCCCGCGAATGCTCAAGTGAATGCCTATATGAATGCTCACCCGAGTACTCCCAGAACATTCACCAATGCTCACAGAGCTGAGGTATTCGTCATACCCACTCAAGGTGAGGTAACCCTCACTTGGCCTTCTTTGTATTGATATGCCGTCGTCAAAGGATAGGAAGGGACCAGTCCCTCACATGATATCTAACCTTTATATCCTCAACACCGCTGTACGGTCAGTCACGGGATACTGATACGAGCACCGTCCTGTATACTGGTGACGACTAGCCAACCTTTGATGTAGGTGCATGTTTCTGTTGATTTGTGAAAGGCTTAATTAGCGTTGAGGCCGAGGCCATAATACGGCTCGTCTGAAAAGCTCAATATACACACATAAGTAGCAAACATACACTGGCATTGCCCTCCTGTAGTGAGCTTGCTGGATGGCCAGACTCAGATACTGAGCGGCCGAAACTTTACCTCCTTCTTCCAATACGCATGCATAGCAGAACGAAATGAATTTTGAATTAGAAAGTCCAATTGGGTCTAACGTTCCCAGAACACTCACAAATGCCCTCATAGCTTTGTAAGCATGCAATTAAATGCATTCCACATACGCAAGTCTATCCTAGTATTTACCAACCAATTACCAGTCTCCACCTCAAACAAATGGGCCATTCCCAATATACTCCGAATATTAACGACCTACATTGTCTTCCTCCTCCCCCTACAAACCTTTAGGAGCTCATGTGAGCTATTTCATGGATCGCCTAGTGAATACACTGGGTTACGAGGAGTTGGACTAGTCAGAAGGGTTCTATGGGGTTCTACCGGGTTCTGTTGGTTGTTAGTATATGAGTCACTTTGGATTTATCATCGCTGGGATTTCATTTGGGTATATTAAGAGAGGTTCGTTCTTATTTCTTGTTCTTTTCTTTCTTTCTTTCTTTCTTTACGCAACGTCTTCTGTACCTATGCTGTCTATTATTATATAATATTATTTCCTCTTCTTTACTCAAGAAGACCACCGTGCCGCTGCTTCCCTTGTCCCGTTGACCCTTACCAATGTTAGAGTCCCTCAGTACCACTATTGCAGGCTCTCAAACCGACTTCTACTACCCCCTTCATACCCTGCGGAATACTTGCTACTCGTTCCCTTGAGATTACGTTGCGTTGTCATCCGCACAGTATGACATGTCCACCCCCACTCCACCTACTTATATCCAACCCAACGATATAGAAAAATTCAAGCGGCAACCTTGAGGAGCAGGTAACCCAGCTCAACCTCGACCTCAATGTCGCTCGCGCCGCCCCCGCCCCTGCTGTCTCTGCCCCCATTGCTGCTGCTCCCCCACCTACTTCTGTTCCTGCCTTCAGGTCCGAAAAGTTTCCAGACCCTGAAAAATTCGACAGCACCCGTACAAAGCTTCCCGGATTCACCACCCAACTTCGAATGAAACTTGAAGTCAACCACGATCGGGTCCGAAATGAGGCAGCAAAAGTTATCTATGCAGTCAGTCGCTTGGAAGGAAGGGCTCTTGACCAAGTAATTCCACTCGTTAATGCTAACCCAGCTGCCCCCTTCTCCTCCATTACTACCTTCGTTGCCCACCTGGAAGCCTCGTTTGGAGACTTAGATCCCCGGAGTACCGCCCATCGTCAACTCATCGCCCTGAAGCAAGGCAAAGGGGACTTCGCCACCTATTACTCACAGTTCCTGGGTATTGTGGCCTACCTGGACTACAACAAAGGAGCCAAGATCGATGCCCTGTCTGAAGGACTGTTGGAAGACCTGAAAGACGCCATGATATACCGGACAGACAGGCCTAACACCGTCGAGGCATATGCCACCATGTTGATGACAATTGAGAAACAGGTTCGGGGCCGTAAAGCTGAACAACGGGCCATTGAGAATACGATGGGACAATTTACCGCCCCCGCCGCTGTCACACACCCATCTCATACCGCCGGAGGCCTTGCTCCAATGGATCTCTCCACCCTTCAAGCCCGTCCCACTCAACACCCTGCCACCGAACAACGATACACTTTTCTCAATGGACAATGCAAAACCTCTGCCGCCGAAAAACAATGACGAAGGGATAACAATCTCTGTAGGTACTGCGCTAACCCCGACCATGTCTTCACCAACTGCTCCTCTGCCAATCGCCTGTGCGGTAATCAACCGGTTATGAGGGGCGCCCTACTCGCACCCGTTCATACTGCTGCCGACCCCGCTGTCCCACCGGTCGCTAGTCCCGCCTCCTCTGAGTCGGGTTTTCAATAGTCCCGGGCTTGATCAATGGCCGCTGCCCGGGACCTTCCAATGTCTCTCCTTTGTCTCTGTTTTCTACCTCTGGCTTCTCGGTATCGTCTGTGGAGGATAAATTGGATAGGGATCATTTTGTTGCTTCTTGTAAAATTGTAAACAATAAAATATCCATTCAAACCCACGCATTGATTGATACCGGTTGCTTCGGATTCGCATTCATTGATGAAACATTTGCACGCCATAACAACCTCCCATTTCTCCCCCTTAAATCAGCCCGCACTCTTGAAGTCATCGACGGACGGCCATTATCTTCTGGACAGATTACCCACCTCTGCTACCTACCGCTATCAATTGACTCCCATCATGAAACTATCCCCTTCTTCGTCACCAAACTCGGCTCGTATCCACTCGTACTCGGAATCCCCTGGCTTCAATTACACGACGCCATATTACAATTTAAGGACAATAGCATACTGTTCGACTCCAAATACTGCAAATGTAAGTGCAATTTCTCCGCAATACCCGTTCATATTAGAGGGATTGCACCACCGCCCGGTTTCCACCTCGTCAGTTCAGCTGCTCTTTGTCGCTTTGCTCGAAGGGACAAGCTCCGAATCTTTAATACAACTATTGAAGAAATAGACCAAATCATGGGCGAGGCCCCTAAGGAAGACTGGAGGAACCGAGTCCCAATCCGGTATAAGAGGTTTCACGAGATGATGGACGAAAAGTTCGCTAACGGGATCCCGCCTCGCCGCCCCTATGACTATAAGATACCGTTTAAGGAAGGGAAAGAGCCCCCTTTTGGGCCATTTTGTGGTATGTCCCATGAGGAACTCATTGTGCTTAAGCAATACATACAGGACAACCTCCAAAAAGGCTTTATTCAGGCCAGCTCTTCACCTGCTGGTGCCCCTGTCCTATTTGTTAAAAAGGCTGATGGAACACTCCACCGCTGTGTCGATTATCGTGGCCTCAACGAACTCACTGTCAAAAACCGCTACCCGCTGCCGCTCATTCGGAAAACTCTCGACCGCCTCTCCAAAGCCAAGTGGTACACCAAACTTGACCTTCACCAAGGGTATAATCAGATCTGAATGGCTGAGGGTGAAGGATGGAAAACAGCCTTCCCTACGCGTTACGGACATTTCGAATATACGGTGATGCCCTTTGGCCTTACCAATGCGCCGGCCACCTTCCAACACTTTATTAATACTTGCGTCCGCGACTACCTTGATATGTTCTGTACAGCCTACTTCGACGATATTCTCATTTACAGCGACACCTTCGAGGAACATCAAGTACACGTTGAAAAGGTCCTGGAAGCCCTACAAAGAAATGAAGTACTGCTGAAACCAGAGAAATGTGAATTTCATACACAAAGCACCACCTATCTCGGCCTCATTATCGAACCCAATAGTATTAAAATGGACCCAAGGAAAGTGGAGACAGTGAAGAATTGGACCGTTCCCAAAACAGTTAAGGATGTGCAAGCATTTCTAGGTTTCGGTAACCTTTACCGCCGATTCATACGTGGATTCTCGGAACTGTCTTCCCCCCTTACCACACTGATACGTCAGGACATATCATTTGAATGGATACCCGAAGCCCAAACTGCCTTCAATGCCCTGAAAGAAGCCTTCACAATGGCTCCCATTCTTACTCATTTTGACCCGGAGAAAGAAATTACTGTGGAAACCGACGCATCTGACTATGTCTCTGCCGGTGTACTCTCCCAATACGATGATAATGGTACCCTTGCGACCCGTCACATACTTCTCAAAAAAAGCACTTCCCCGCCGCATGCAACTACGTGATTTACGACAAGGAATTACTGGCAATTATTCGATCCTTTGAGGAATGGTGACCGGAAATTGAAGGGGCTGCACATCCAATCGCCGTCATATCCGATCATAAGAATCTCGAAAACTTTATGAGTACTAAACAACTCAACCGGAGACAAGCATGGTGGGCGGAATATTTGTCACGGTTTAATTTTGTCATTAAGTACTGACCAGGGAAACAAGTATAACAGGGACTGTGGGCGTAGGAACTATGAAGCCAAGGAATACAACCGAGGTGAAGAGGTGGACGTAGGTGGTTCGTGGACTATGGACTATGGGGCCAAAGGGTACACCTAAGGCAAGAACGGGGACTGTGGACTATGGACTATGGATGGTTGTACCTGGTCTAGTATACCGGGTAAACCCTATGACGTAGCGCGAACCAAATAGGATTTGTAACTGTAAAGTACAGAGGTTGCATAAAGAGAAAAGGAAAAGAAAGAGAAACAAGAAATCACGAAACAACGCCCCCCTTATATATCCATACCCTATCCCAATGCTGACTCATACCTTCGCATAACAGAAACAGAAAGAACATAATAGAAACTCACTTCGCTAAACCCAACCACACTACATAATCCTTCTCCCTTATACCCAGACAACTCACATAGCCAACCCGCCTAGCTGCCGTTACAACAAGGAGGGAAACCGGACGTGTTGACAAGAAGATCAGGAGATCTCCCTGGAGAGAGGGATGAAAGACAATTGCATCAGAGTCAAGTTGTGTTGAAGAAGGAGAATCTCGATGCAAAGCTAAGTTTGTTGGCGGGTTATTTCTCAAATGAGCCCGCTGAAAAGAACGCCTCACTGCAGGAATTATTCGATGAAGGATATAGCGCTGACCTGTTTCCCCAAAAGATACTGGATATGCGGAATAAAGGCGATCGACAGTCAAAGGACATATCACTCGCCGAATGCACCGAGGTTGAAGGCCGACTGCTTTACCGAGGCAGCATATATGTCCCTGATTACGACCCTCTTAAGCTTCGAATCCTCCAACTTTACCATGACGCTGCCTCTGCTGGACACCCGGGACGCGAAAAAACATTCGAACTCATCAGTCGAGACTACTACTGGCCCCTTATGCGGAATTATATTGCCCGCTACGTTCGGAACTGCCACACCTGTCAACGAAGCAAACCCAACACCCATAACCACTATGCTGAAAAACCTCCTGTGTATCCCGGTTGGACATACTTTTACCTACAATATTCAAGAAGATTGCTAATTGCTCTTCTAGAGTAATATATCGTGCAGGTTTTAGTAGATTGTTCTGGGTCATCCAGTCGCACAATTGTTGAAAGGTAGAAAGAGGCATGCGGAAGAAGTGGTGAATTCTGGCTGGGTTACCGCATTCAATTTTATCTTGTACATACGAAGAGCCGGTAGAAGGTGATAAATGCGCCGGAATTTTATCAAAATAAGAGAGCTCATGTGCCCGATTAGCATAGCAATATCTACAAGTGTCCTGGGGTTCAGTAGTGGTTTTTGTTGTTCATCCGTACCGGAATCCGACATCGCGAAGTAACGAACCTGCTTGTGAAGAGTTTTCGGTTGTCAAGACTTGATCCCCCTATCCTGGTGGCTTGTGCACTAATTAGTTCATGTGGCTTGTATACTTTCACGGTTGCGAGATAAAAAGAAACAGCTCCAGGGATAATTTTTTATTGCTTGAAATCTATGGGTTCTGGTTCGATAACTGTAGTGACCTGAGCAGTCAAATTATTCACAACCCGTGGAACACGCCCAACCCCTGGATTAGGGCCCAAAACCACGGATTACGGTGGCAACTGAACGGAGCCTTATTATTCTCAGTTCTTTTTATAGCAGGACTCTCTTCCTCCTGTTCCCGCACGTCAGATGTAGATCGTACGGCGCGGTACCTTTCTGTCCCTGAATGGAACTGCCTACAATAACGCAGTGCTGGGTGGAGGACAAAGACTAGGAACATCCTGTCCAGAACCGCAAAGAACATACCGCCACGGGGAGGCACATGAGACACGCGTGACCGACTAGACAGTGGGATGCCTAAAATCCCCCTTGGCTTAAATACAAAGTCCCCACCACAGGCTGTCCCCTAATTTTCGACATAACCAAGGATACCATGGGTATATCCCCCCCCCCCGCTTTTTATACCTCCCCGACTATCTTACTACACTACTAATATTGTACCGTTCCAGCATCAATACTCCAAACAGTCAGCTGGACCCTGAGAAATACCGGCCGAGTCGCCAAAAGATCACTCAGTACTATCAAGCCCACCCCCGCTCTTCCAGAGTCGATGCGGCCGGTCATCTGGGTCCTCAAGAAAGCTTGCCAATGCGTCAAAAAGAATGCCCAATACTACTACTACCATCCCCGCGAAGCCTGGGAGGACCTCACCACCTACGCAAGGGACAACCCTAAAGAGTTCACGTTCATGTGCATATTGATTATCGGCGGGATTCTGATGATTGCTCTCCCGCCGGCGCTCGGATTTGGCTCAGTAGGGATCACTCTAGGTAGCGCCACCCCACTGCCATTGCGGGCGATAGTGATCACATGCTGAATAAATGCTTATTAGGGTCGGTTGCGGCGGGTTGGCAGGCTGGTATCGGCTCCGTGGCGGCGGGATCGCTGTTTGCCACATTGACATCGATGGCTATGACGGGTGCCTTTGCAGCCATCGGGAGCTCGATGATCGTGCTAGGGTCCCAGGCCCCGCTGCTAGGCTGGCTACTTCGACGGATGAAGTCATTGATGGCGGATACATCTGCCGGCATAATAGAGCTCGGGATTCTCCCGAACTCGCTAACGCTACAGAGAGCTCTTCGCTCGACCGCTCCGGCGGATTCCATCGTTAGGAGTACGGATAGGCCACTGGGTCCAGGGTGGTTCCTCGACCCAAAACATACAAACATCAGGAGCGGGCCATCGGCGTCTGAGGGGTCAGACACAGGATTCATCAACAAGCGGACCATCATAACCAACTCGAGGGAAACCTATCAAATGGTATGGGACGATTTGGATCTCGCAGTGTACAATCGGACGATCAAGGAGCATGCCTTGTCTGGGTTCGATGTGAAGATTCAATTAGTCCGGCCACAGCGGAAGCGCAGGGAAGAGGGTTTTTATGAGAGGTTTATAGATCATGAGGAGGGTTGTCATGTGGACTGCTGGTGTATTGGTGATATCAAGGATGTTCGGTTTTGAAATGTTATATATATGGTCCCGTAGGCGTTGTGATTGGCTGGCGCCATGGCTAGGATTCGAGTTGTAATGGCTGGACTTGAACACAGTCTGAGATAATATAGGATAATTCAGCAAGGGATAGTGAAACCAAACGGTTGCCGGAAATGGAATTTTTAAATGCGTCTGTCTAGCCAGACAGATCCCGGGCCTAGACCTCTGAACAGGTCGTCTCACTACACGCACAAAGTTAAGTCCGGGAAATTAGGTGCTTTGCCTCTTGACTTGAGCTATGTATTAATACAGCTATGTGGATAATCCACCTCCCCGGGCTCCCTTCACCTTGAAGTATCTCCAGAATCGATTAAAAGGAATAGATGACCAAACCTGACCCAGCCGCACGAGAATACTAAGAACAACCACACCAGGAAGCTAATACTACAGATGCAGCTTATTTAAAGAATATTTGAGATGCCACCTCAATCACAACGGGCATCTCCATCCCCAATAGCTGCCATGAAATCGCCTGGGAATCCATAGACGCTGCGTGTCGTGTCACGTGATATGATACAGATATCTGATAAGATAATGCACCAAGCTATCCCATCGGAGGGCTGTGGTAGGATATGTAACCAGTACGGCCCGTCCCGTGCAGGGATACGGACGTGACATATGTAGCGTAGTATTAGCGTAGAGCTTGTCAACCGACTTCACTTGCTTAGCTTGGTGATATAGGTAGTATCTGAAGTGACTTGATCGTTACTTCTATTGATGATTCTCCGGAGGGGATGGGAAGCCTTCCCCTCTTATTCTACTATGATGACATGATCGTGGCCTAACGCCTTGTTGGTCTATGCCAAAACTACCTTCTGTCCTTCATGCTTGGAATCATCGCTTATCTATATACAGCGAAAGCTTGCTATAACGGTACGCTCGGGACCGGAATTTGGTACCGTTATAGAGAGATTACCCTTATATGAGAGGCGATTGTGCTGAAATCCGGGCAAAAAGGACCGAGAAGTGCTACCGTTATAGAGAGATTACCCTTATAGAAATTACCGTCATAGCAAGCTTTCGCTGTAGTTGCGGGTAGCAAAATTGATGGTTGCATGTCAATGTATCAGCGCTCAAGATTGCTAGTTGCATGCGTTTGGCTGGGTGGTAAATAGCAGTTTTCAGAATTGCTGGTCCACCTAAAGTTTCTATTGTCTGATGTGAAGATTCGTAGCGCCTCAGCAGTAGGCCAACCAGCGGCAGTCTTTGGACGTCAATATGCAAGTTTTGGTGTAGAATACCTATCCCTGCTGCAGCGCTCAGGCTTTGCGGTAGGTAACAGTCAATCAGATCAGGCGGCTCTCTCTCTTCTCCCACATAGTGATGGCAACGAGGGATACCCACCGGAATCTTCTGCAAGAGCGGGGTCGCCCTACACCCTCTCTCCCGCACAATCATCCATCACCACTACACACCACAGCAGATAGCGACTAAACACCAACGTTACAGCCGGTAATACTATCGCGAACTATTCCATAGATATTTTGATTCTAGCATAGTCTACGGAGTAATGTCGCAAGGAAGACGTGGACGAGGAGGTGGACCAGCCGGTGGAGGAGGCGAGAAACGCGAGGCTCGGATGGTAGGCGGATTTGGATCGCCTCAAGACATTAGAGAACTCATGGAGAAGAACAAGTTGGCTGGTGATGCAATGGCCGCACAGTGGGAGAAAGAGCGGGCAGAGCATGCGAAGAGTCGCAATGAATACAAAGACTCTACGACGAAGATGAATGAGGTCAGTGAAGTGAAGATTGAGGACGACGATGATCACCGGGGATAGACGGGCGGGAGGTTGTGATTGAGATTGAAGCTGACAATAGAGCGAATGTGCGCAATGTAGGAGGAGGGACTACTTTCGAAATCTCAACTTCAAGAGGCTGTTATTCAGTTGACGGCGGCAAACACGGCGCTGACCGCTACGACTACTCGGTTGGGTACGGAGGTTACGAGACTAGCGGGCGAGGTAACGAGGTTGGCGGCGGAAGTCGCGAAGTTAACCGTGCAACCGGCACCAACGAAGAAGCCCCCGCCTGACATTAGGAGGTTCATTTATCGGGTGGACCCCTCGTATGTGTTTAGCACCTCCTCCACGCTTTTCAGTTTCGGCAAAGACAATGGGAGTATGTATTCTGTTCGTGGGGAGAACGGGGAGTTTATTTTAAATAGAGAAGTTTCGCCTCAAGGAGTTATGAGGCATGTCGAGACTTTAACATTTGACACTAAGATTATAGATATCCCAGGGTTGACGTTTGATCGAAGTATTCCTTAGAACAAGTTTTCTTTTTCTTTTCCTTCTTAGCGGCGCAGACTCTGGTTTCTCTTTGATGTATGGTACACCCGATCTTAATGGTAGCACATTTTCGAAGCTCTAATGGCTTACAAGCACAGGATATATTGAACTTGTCCTGACCACTTGGCCAATGGGAAGATACTTATCAGCTATTCTGATGAATCATGAATGAGACGCCCCCATCTGTACCTTTATGGTTCTGATGAATGGGTATCCTATCTGTAAATAAGTCCGTGCTCTTTTTGTGGGACACCCTATCCATATATCGTATGGATAGGACACTGATGAATGGCATCCGGGTTCTCAATGATAATGCGGTATGGTGATATGTATCGATAAAATTCTCTGGCGGTCCTGTGACTAAAGTAAGACATAATCGTCTTTTGGTAATAGTATGTATATGATGCGTTAACCCACCAGTATTGATATAAATATCATGATAGAGTCTTGGCGCGCGGATCAACAGTCTATCCGCAATCTTTGCTGGATCAATCCATCGGGCACACTTGCGCAACATGAGACATCACTCGTTTCCACCATGATATATCACAGTTAGTACAATAAGAAGTCTGTAAGATATCATGTATTTTGATACTGATCTGAACATATGGTGGTTGGTGCGATATGGCAGGAAAAACACCGATATGTATCATTGAGAACCCTGCTTGCCATGCCTACCCGCAGTAATTACCTCGAATCACAGTTGAAACCGTTCTTTCCGGGGAATAATTATGATACTCACTTCTTGACTCGTGATGGAGTCGGGAGGACACTAGCCAGGAGGACATAAATACCAGGCAGGCTTTCACTCCTGTCCCAAGGACTCCGGCCACAAGATGAAGGAGCGTGCTGCAGTGGCACTCCGTGCATCTATCATCTCGAAAAACGACACGGTAGGGATTTGTGTCGTTGTGGAGAGTACAGAGGTTACTCCGATAGCCTAGCAATGCTCCTCCACCTAAACGAAATGGGTAAATATCAAACGTACCGGCCACCGCGCCTGTGTGTCTACCATACAAGCTGCTCTCTCTGTCCACCACTCCTAACACTCAAAAGATTCAAAAGTGGATGACGTAATCCTCCCACGGTATGGAATTAAACGACCCTTGGGCAGACTTCTCAAACTGAGAAACGATTCCACTATCAAATACGCCCTCCCAACCACCGTCACAAGCCCCGAAAGCCAAAGTATTATACGATTCAGCGTAAGTGACTTGCTCTGTCCCCAACTCTCATTCCCTGATACCACCAGCAGTATCATATATATAAGATGGCAGAATTCCCACTAGCATAGACGCCATCCACCACAGCTTGCACTCAAGCAGCGTCGAGAAGTGCGTATTCTACGCCTCGGCATGGCACAGCCCATGCATACACAATTAGGATCAGCACTGCCAGTAAAAACTTTTGAAACGTCAGGTCCTCCAGGGCAGCGGCGAGGTCAACATATTAGCCTTGACGTAGGGGTATAGCTTTTGGTCGTATCGTCTCGAATGGTAGTTGTTCATCTCACTCCATTCTGAAGTGAGTGTAATTAATCACTATTGTATTCAGTCTTATTGTTGCTACTATCTCACAGGAAGAGAGTCTTATCCTACGTCTAATTAACAGGTTATAGTTATCTGGTCTCGTCACATTCTCTGTTTGGTCTGGTCAAATGACCCGGGACCTTTTGGCACCGTGAGTACCACAGGCTGTAGGTACATACTTTGTTGTAAACAATAAGATTGGTTTTCTATCAGCTTTGGGGCTGGTGTACCATAGAGCATGCTCTGGCAAACCTGATTAACACAGAAGGCATTGGTTTGTCCAGGAAATTCTTCAACTAAGCTCGGTATTTTCTTTTGGCCTGCCTCATTTGTTGACTCGGGTATGATTCTTCGATCGATGGAAATCTCCATAATGCCAGTTGTGCTATCAGGTGCCGTGCATGCATATTTGGCGGCAACAGAACTCGCTATGGTTGGAGCAACAAGTGTCGGCCGAAGTATTCGATCGGGAGTCAAGGCTGATGAGCCAGTAGTCACATCGCATCAGCGTTAAAACAGCACTTTCGTTTTATTTTGTCGAGAGAAAGGGGGGGGCGTGGTTGTTTTCGATTGTAGGGAATGCTTTCCTGAAGCATCTTCCCACTTATAATCCTCAGTTCCTGTGGTATACAGGTTTCTCAACTCTCACAAGCTCAAAATTCCTCCATATCTCGAATCGTTGGCCCAAGATCCGTGCAATGACGTTCAAAGGGTATAAACCTCTGAGTGAACCTGGCTCAGGAGCCAGTCCACGCGGTATCTGCTCCTGGCTTAGGCGAGGCGACAATCTCGAGCCCAGATCATATTCTCCCTCCGAGAAACTTCTCTTAACCTAGAATGTTAAATATGAGGCGCAATGGGGTATCCACTGTCAAACCCCATTTCATGGATCGATTAGTTAACACAATGGGTTACGAGGAGTTGTATTAGTAAGAAAGATCCTATTGAGTTCTATCGGGTCCTGTCGGTCGCAAGGGTATAAGTCACTTTGGGTTTGTCATCGCTTAGATTTCTTTGAGTATATTAGGCGGTTTCGTCCTCGTTTCTTGTTGTCTTGCCTTTCTTTCTCTTACTATGCAACGTATTCTGTACCCACGCTGTCTATTAATATATAATATCATTTCCTCTTCTTTACTCAAGAAGAACACCATGCTGCTGCTCCCCTTATCCCGTTGACCCTTACCAATGGTAGAGTCATTCAGGACGCCTATCGCAGGCTCCTCCACTGACCTCCATTACCACCATCGTACCATGCGGAATACTCCATACTCGCCCTCTTGATATTATGTTGCATCCTCATCCATACCGTAAAACATGTCCACGCGCGACCCACCTGCATGGGTCCCACCCAAAGATATAGAAGAATTCAAGCAGAAGTATGAAGACGATACTGTTGTTTAATTTAACAACATCGCCGTCCTCATCCAACTTATACACCATGAGAGGGATACTGCTCGTACACAATTCGCCACCAACCATGAAACTATTGACAACCTCGAAGAGCAGGTAACTCAGCTCAACCTCGACCTCAATCTCGCTCGCGCCGCTCCTGCCCCCATCATCACTGTCCCCGTTGTCACTTTTCCCTCACCTATCACCGCTTCCCCCTTCAGGTCTGAAAATTTCACAGACCATCTGGTAGCCAATGTTAGACAGGATTTTGGGGTTGCCCGAGAACCGTCGCCCCACAATTCCCAACTCCATAACTATGGGTCGAACAGGACGACCCGAGTCCATTCCCATCATCAGGTATGCGCGTACAGGGGGTCGTGGTCGTGATTGCGGGGGCGGAGGTGGTGGTTGGGGGCCGTTGAGTAGGGTAACTAACTGTGAGTCTTGGCGACCCGTCCTGGTTCACTCCCGGCACCGCCACTCACCGGGCGGGTACAACGATCGATGACTGCATGGCACCGAACGCACCGTCTCGAGCCCACGATCATGACGGCGCACGAAATTCAATGATGCCATATTTCTCCATCCTCTGCTTCGATGGAATACATAAATTTCAAATTCTGAACACCGGGTTACCGTATTGGGCGAATCCCCCTCCTTGCACCCGGTGTGTTTTCTAACACTAATTCGGATTTCAATCTCAAACAAGGCAATGCGCAATACCTGCAACCCAATATATGAGTGATGATCCATTACCGACATTCCATATTGTGTATTGTTACAGTCTGGTTTTGCATATCCCCTTGTTAAGGTTGGTCAAAATTACTAAGCAAATGGATTACTTCTGGTAACTTACTGGATTATATTTTTCCGACCAACAAACTGAATTCTTTTGAAACATGTCAGTTTTATCTGAGAGCCGCTAACCCCGAAACCTAAAGAAAATTTTCAAATATACTCATAAACTAACTTCTAATACATAACATCGACAACTTACAATCCTAACAAAACCGATAAAAACTTTTTGCAAACAGGATCCTGTATGTCAGTAGACCGCACAATATACTAAAATCTTATCGCACATCTGTTTGTATGCTAAGTTATTGACACTCTGGTCCCTGAATTGTGATCTCTTATCCGTCCCAAACCCCTTGCTTAAAAAAGGAAAACAACCTTCGTGACCGTAGCAAAAACTTATAACCTGGCATACCCAACCCCCTGACGTCCCTCTACCCCACCGAGCACTGCAGGCAGGAAAAGAACACTTTCACAGGTCTCTCCTGCCCCCAACCGATCCAGGATATCTGTCATGTCTCAGCAAGGCTTCCTGAACTTCTGCTTTGTGAGAACCCTACCCACAGGAATTTTTGCCCCCCCATCTTTCGCCGAAACCCAACAGGCTCAATCAACTCAATCTACTATCATTGAACAAATCCAACTGAACAATGAACCATTCTTCATCTTCGCAGAACACGCCCCATACAACAAACAATACACACCCCGATATGACTACATCCACTCAAGGATTGTCCTCCAGGAATCAAACGCCAGAATAAACCTGAACTATATGTTATGGGTAGTTAGTAACGCCCTCACCATCGCTATTGAACGGATCAAACAAAACACCAACCAGATCAACCGCGATAACACTGCCAATGAGACAGTAAAGGTTATCTATGCGGTCAGCTGTTTGGAGGGAAGAGCCATTGATCAGGTCAGACCACTTGTTGATGCCAATCCTGTTGACTTCTTTTCCTCCGTCACCTTCTTCGTCGACCACATGGAAGCCTCGTTTAGAGACCTAAACACCCGAAGTACCACCCACCACCAACTCGTCCCCATGAGGCAAAACAAAGGAGACTTTGCCACCTACTACTCGCAGTTCATCAGAAACGTATCCCACTTGCATTACAACAAAGGAGTTAAGATTGACGAATTAGCGGAAAGATTGTCGGACAGACCCAATATGGTGGAAGCATATGCGACCATGTCAATGACGATCGACAACCACATGTAACTGACGTACTATGATGAGGCAAAACCCTGACTTCCTTTCGAATAGTGTAAATAAAGAGAGTGAGTTTTGATGATACTCGTTCAGAAAGAAGAAAATGCAGTTTGTATGTTTGAACGTTCTCAAGTCTAGAAAATTATAACTTTAAGGGGTCTTCTCTCTATTAAAGATCCGTTGATGATGAGAGGCAAACCTGGGGTAATACCGAGTGGCTTATGGGAATACAGCATGGTTGCTTAAGTTCTTTTTCCGACTGACAGTCTGCCTGTTGATAGTCGGGGGTACAGCAACTATTTTCTATCAGGGGAGAGGAGAGTAACTACGACACCTTGATTGAACTTCTGTCTGAGTCGAATCACGCAATTTGCCAAAAGCTGTGGTCGGAATTTTAAGAACTATTGAAAACAGCCGACCAGATAATAATTGTTTATTCTAACTTTATTAGAACCGATTTGAGTGTTTGTAAAATGAAGTTTTGCTTTAGTAGCTTGAGTCGCACTCCCACTCCCCAAAGATGCTCCGGAGCAAAAGAGGAGCATTCCGGCAGTTTGACACTGTGGAGGTTAGTATTGGGGATTAAAACGTGTTTTTGGAATTAGATTTCCCATTAGGTCCGGGACACCGTCAGAATTATGTCTGTCGTGCTAAAGCATAGTCTTTGAGCGTCGGTTGCAGAGATATGAAACCTTAAAGATTCGACTGCCTAGGTAGGGAACTCCCGTCCTGGGTTTTCTGTGCTATCAGCCATCTTTGTACTTCTGTTCCAGGCTTGCTCAGCCCCCTATTTTTGACTTGTAAGACTTCTTACTCATTGAGATCCCTGTCCTCTATACGAATAAAAGTAGAAGCCTAACTGCCCTTGTCTTCACACTTCGATGAAGAACAAGCTGCTGTTACTTAAGATCGGTGGCTTAACTGATGGAATGAGTTCTTTTGTAACAGCCTCATAGTGGCCCTGTTACATTACTCCCTTCTATAGTAGATTTGTTTTGAGTCCACTGTAATGTTACTGGAATATTAGTATTTGGCATAGAAGAAAAACAGTAACTTTATTGGTGTGTACGTACAAACTACATCTCTGTTTCTATCTCCATCAGAGAAGGAAAACTCTAAAATGAAATGCCTTTTAAAACAAAGAAAATGATATATTCTCCACTTTTGTCGTAGAACCTTCCGTTCCACTAGTGGAGATTTCGAGGTTAGCAAGAATCTCTCTTTTTCCCTTGTCTCTTTTATGCGGGTTTCCTCACGCTTCGGTTTTCTATCGTTTCTTGCACAGCTTTCAGGGAAAAATGGTATCCGAACTCTGTCAGATAGATGAAAAACCTGGTACAGGAGAGTTGGTTTTTGTTCCCGGATTTCTTCTGAGATACAGAGCTACTCACGCCGTGTTTTGAGGATCACTAAAGTTTCACCGTATTTTCCGAGGTTTTTGCGGGTATTTTTGATGAAATACTTTCAGGGCCTCATCAGCTCTTCCTTGCAGAATTTCGTATGGTTCCCAGGAGTCATCCGAACGATAGCCCTCCCAAAGAATGCGATACTTTACAAATATATTCTAATGCCCAGCCTGTTGCCATCGGCTATTAGCTATTTCTTGAGGAACGTGACTGTATTCTCCTTCGACCTCATTTGGAGTAGGAGGGAGTTCAGTGCATTGAGGGTATTTCAGTCCCCAATAGGACTCCAGCAGAAATATTTGGAAGATATCATGAATGTTCCATGGAGAGGGAAGCTTCCACCTGTAGAACGCAACAACAAGTTTCTCATCAACCTCAAAGAGACCTAGTTTCTTGTCGTCAAGCCTGCTTGAGGGTCGATTGGCAACCCTATTGGGTCGGTCCATCATCACCTTATCCACCTCCTTCGGTTCTGGAGCTTTCATATGCTTCTGGTCATACCATTTCTTCTGCCGGGCCTGTGCCTGAAAAATATCAGTCCTCATAGTTTTCCAAAGAGCTTTCCACTTGGACTCTAGTACGGCGCTGGAAACATTGGCAGTGTACAGCTTCCTTCTGTGCGAATACCAATTGGAATCAGGCTCGAACCCATAGTTCGCATAGAACTGGGATACTTTAGTGGACTATTGGGTTGCCGTTTTGTAGGCGTACTGTGCAAGCGGCAGTAACCCTGCCCAATCGTCCTACTTGTAGGACCAAAAGTTTCTGAAATATTGCTCTAGCGTTTGATTGACCCTCTCAGTTCACTTGTCAGCTTGAGGACAATATGCCGTAGACAGACAAAGGTTGACTCCGAGAAGCTTGATCAATGAATGCCAGAACTTGCTTTCGAATCTGAAGTCCCGATCAGAAATGATTACTTCGGATAGTCCATGTAGTCACCAAATTTCTTGAAGGAATATATGCGCAAGTTCCTCGATTGTTGCCTCGGGCTTGAGCGGTATGAAGTAGGTGATTTTCGTAAAGCATTCAACAATAACCCCGATACAGGTATAGGCTTCAGATTCTGGCATACTGACGAAAAAGTCCATCAAGATGGAGCTGCAAGGAGTATTGGGGACCTCTAAATGTGGTAGCATCATGTACTTCTTATGACTGTAGCTTTTATTGCTTTGACATGTATCGCAACTCCGCACGTATTCTCCCATATCATTGTCCATCTTTGGGCAAAAGAACAGTGCCCGAAGATGCTCTGCAGTTTTAAATTGACCCAAGTGTCTTGTGGGCTTCGAATCATGTAGGGCGCTCATGATTTTTGGTTTGAGCTCTTGGTGATTTGGAATGTACCATCTTTTCTTCCAAAAGACATCACCGTGTCTCAAAGTTAGATTTCGGTCTCTAGTAGTGGAATGTCGAACAGGATTTTGAGGTTGCCCGAGAACCGTCGCCCCACAATTCCGGGCTCTGTGGCTATGGGTCGAACAGGAAGACCCGAGTCCATTCCTATCATCAGGTATGCGCGTACAGGGGGTCGTTGTCGTGATTGCGGGGGCGGAGGTGGTGGCTGGGGGCCGTTGAGTAGGGTAACTCACTGTGAGTCTTGGCAACCCGTCCTGGTTCACTCCATCACCGACACTCACAACAATCGACAACTGCACCGTACCGAGCGTGCATTCTCTATCCTACAATCATGACGGCGTTCAAAACTGAATCATGCCGTGTTTCCCCATATTGTGGTTCGATGAAATACACGAATTTCGGATTCTGAACCCCGGGTTACCGCATTGGGCGAATCCTCCTTCGATGCTCGTAATCCTAACCGCCAACAGCCAGGTACAAACCACCACCAAATACAGATTTATGTATTTCATTTCTGCCGAAAATTCTATTTTGCACACCTAACCGAACCATATGGCAACGCTCGTAATCCTAACCGCCAACAGCCAGGTTTAAACCACCTCGTAATACAGATTCATGCATTTTATTTTGACCGAAAATCGTATTCTCTAACCCTAACCAAAATCCCACTTCAACGCTCGTAACCCTAACCACCCGCATCCAGGTTTAAACCAACTCGTAATACACATTGAAGTATTTCATCTTGACCGAACATTGTATTTTGTACATGTAAGCAATTCAGATTTGAACGCTCATAACCCTAACTACCCACATCCAGGTTCCAACCACCACCAAATACACATTCAAGTATTTCATTTTGACCGAAGATTGTATTTTGTACACGTAACCAAACCAACTTTCAACGCTCATAACCCTAACTACCCACATACAGGTTTCAACCACCTCGTGATACACATTGATGTATTTCATTTTGACCGAAAACCGTATTCTCTAACCCTAACCAAAATCCCACTTCAACGCTCGTAACTCTCAAGGGGGCGAGTAGCGAGTATTCCGCAGGGTACGAAGAGGGTGAATAGGGGACGGTATGGGAACTCGCAATAGGGGTACTACGGGACTCTAGCGTTGGTAAGGTTCGACGGAGCATGGAGAAAGCGAAGCGGTGGTCTTCTCAAAGAAAGAAGAGAACGGTGATATTGTATAGCAATAAACAGCGTAGATACAGAAGACGTTGCGTAAAGAAAGAAGAAGGAGAAAAAGACAAAATACAAATGAAACCCCCCTTAATATACTCAAGGAAATCCCAACGATGACAAATCCAACATGACTCATACATTAACGATCAACAGAACCCGGTAGAACCTAATAGAACCTTTCTGACTAATCCGACTCTTCCTAACCCCGTACCTCCACTAATCGATCCATGAAAGTAGCCCCTCCCTTCAAGCGCGAGCTCCTGCGAGCCTTAATCTTAATCTTCCCTTCCAATGGTCCAGGTTTGTCGGGGTAGCGTATGTGGAAGATATCAACGGCGGCGGTATTATCGTGGTATGCGGCGGGTTCCCAGGTAGGGTCGGTATAGCCCGTCCACTTAACAAAGTATTGCAGGCCGGTGTTCCGTAATTCTCGTGAGTCCAAGATTTCCTCAACTGCATACTCCTCCTCTTGTTCGACGATAATGGGCGGGGGTGGTGGTGGAATTTGCCCTGGGACGGGATCATTCGCAGCGGGGTCCAATAATGATACATGGAAGACGGGGTGCACCTTCATACTTCTAGGCAGGTCGACTCGATACGCATATGGCGATATAATTTCCTTAACAGGGAACGGTCCCAGTTTCTTCCAGTCCAGCTTCCGGGAGTTACGCGTAGTTCGGATGTTTTTTGCTGAAACAAACACCATATCGCCGACATCGTACCGTGGGGCCGGCGTTCGTTTAGTATTGATGGCCTGCTCCTGTTGATCATGCGCTGTGCGGATATTGGAACGTAGGTGCTCATGGAGTTCTCTCATCTTCGAGGCGAAGTCTTTAGCATTGAGACTCGGTGGGGTCTTGTCAAGCGATTTGATCGTCACTGTAAACCGGGGGTGGAACCCATAGTTCCCGAAGAATGGTGTAGCTTTAGTGGATGTGGAGACCTGATTGTTGGCGGAGAATTCTGCCATAGGAAGCCATTTTACCCAATCGTCCTGTTGATAAGAGACATACCCACGTAGATATTGCTCCATCACAGCATTCAGCCT